ACAAATCAATGTGTTATACAATTACTTCTCGCGTGTTGTTCCACACGACATCTATTACATTACATATGCAGTGAAAGGTATCAGAAGAACTCGATTGTGATTAGCCACAGGCGCGACCGTGGTGAACCGGATAATTTGTCATATTCGCTATAGTTTTCCTTTAATCGGCATATTTAAAAGAGATTTAGACGTGGTCGTTAACAGAGAAAATGTTTGTAGAAAGCCAATTCTATTAAATACCAGTTAATTGCTGGACGCATGGCCGGCTATACAATAATGACGAGTTAGCACGTTTTCTTTTCGCGTCTATTTGTTTCATCCTTGTGCATAAAACACATTTATTAGCGCGTTCAATTTTTGTACAAATTGCCTTGCCCGTTTTTACTTTGTCCAAAGCGATTCCCAGTGTACGAAAATGCAAAATAAGTGTTATAATTTAGCACCTTTCTTCCTTCTAGAAAGGTCTACCAGCGTATGAGATCGAACTAACCGTCTCGTTATATAGACTCAGGTGTTTTTTCTCTCTACATGGTCTTTTTTCTTAAATAAAATTCTCGTTATTTAACAAGACCATTTTTGTTTCCAAACATAGTTAACTGATAATTTAAAAAGCGTAATACGTGTTTTTTTAGTTCTGCCTGTTTTTAACATTTGGTCACTGAACAAACGTTGCATTTACAATGTGATTACGTACACTTCGCTTAACTAATGAGGTGATAGTATTACCAATCGGTAAATCAATTTAGTTATAATCAGAGAAATATTGACAATGACGGAATACATACTTATATACTTTAGTTGGCGAAATTGAGGAACCTGGTGCACAAAAATTATTCAGTTGCAACCTGGACAAGCTTAAGTTTAGATTTTGGTACAAATGACTTTGAATTTCATTCACAGAAATTTTCCACATTTAATGAAATCGTGAAAGGAACGAAATGAAATTGATTAACAGCGAAATTAAACACTGAATCTACCGCTATATATTAACATTATGGCAAAACTTGTGTAAACACTTGCTTAATAAAAGTTTAAAGAAAATAAGAAAATGTATCCATATCGCATTATCCATATCACATGTTGTCTTGTAACATTACGTTTTTTTTTTAAATAAAATCTATGATTTCGCTCATTTTTATATTAACATTGTCATTAATTTAATTTATCATATCAACGTCGCGCTGTACAATGTACGCCCTCGTCACTCGTCTGCGTAATAAAGGGGAAAATTCTTAAAAAAAACTGGCTAAAGGTGAAAGTCCTCTAGCAAACGATAAAGCAGGTTGTAAAAAGTCTTATAGAATTCGAATTATGACACCACACAAAAAATTCAGCTGTAGTAAAACCATTCACACGGCGATCGACGTTTCGGCTTGTCCCGCTTTTATTCGCATTGTTGAAAACGTCACTACTGCACTGGCATACTGCACATTTTCCGTTTTAAAAAATGCGGTATGCTCGTAACCTTAGGGAGCGGGGAATCCATTGATTTTTCACGTTGCAAGTTGACGTCACGAACGCGACAGTCTGGCGCAGTCGGCGCGCGCCGGCCCGCGTCTCACCGGCGACTGGCGAAGTAGTCGAGAGGAAATACCAGTTACCATGCGGTCCTTCCTAAGCTAGTCGTAATGTCGACCTTCTCGCCCGGCTTGTGCTCGCCACACAGCTGATTTATACCGCAACGATCAGCGGATAAACAATTGTAAAAAACTAAATAATAATGGAAATTTGCATAAGAGCTACAGAGACTACGCCTCAACTCGAAGAGTTTACATTTTGTTACAATGCGCAGATGGCAATAGATATTATTGCGACAGGTCGATAATTAGATGAAGCCATTTGTGGAACCAATAGATATATATGACATCCAAGTACATTTATAGTTAGAGGAAAATTTCTATTTAAGTTCTCGGTCAATATGACAATATAATTATTGTGAAACACTTATTTTAATTTTTAATATACTATATCTCTGGTGATAAGAGAAGAATTTACTTTTGAAGACAATAATTTGTCACTGCTTTTATTTAAATTCGGCAGCCATTTATAATATTTAATCGCGTTAGTTATTACTACTTTACTTGTAACACTCGCATTGAAAATTACAAGATAACTATTTTTAATCTACATTAAAACATCCTTAAAATATCATAAAATAACATTTAAATCAGATTAAAATAATATTTGAATCTGAAAAAACTATTAAATAAAAAGGGAATTAAAATAATATTGTATAAGGTTCTTTGCCTGTTGTATTTCTGCAGGCGGGTAATTGTTAAGACTGTTTTTTTTAAGAATTCGTCTGTTTTCATAAATATAATATAACTCATACAAATAAATAACCTACACAAAGAATATTTTTCTACATTATTCACACTAACTTTGCCGTTTAATTTATAAACATATTTAAACTTGCTTGCGCCTAAGTTAATATTATAGCAAAGAAGCAAAAAAGGTATATTTAATAATCATAAAATTATTTTATGTAAAACGGATGAAATTGTGTATAACTTTTTTTGCAATCATAGAATACAACATTGACCACTGACCTGACACTGACCTGGAGATAATATAAACTTTCAAGTAAATAGAAGAAAAACGCATAGGAAGACGAATCAAAACCATATTCTTATACATCACGGACCCCTAGAAAAAGTTTAGATTTAAGAATAGAAAAATTTGTCAATGAGTATCTCTTAATATCTATAAAGACGTGGTTTTTAATATTTCAGGTATAATAATTTCGAGAAATAATTCAAATAAGTTGACCCGCATTTGGTGACTGATCAATAACCATATAGGTAATACGATAATGTGTAAATAAGTATTTATCGATGAAAAGTATCAATTTTGAAGAATAACTTTTTTAATGTTTTGTTTAAGAAAATTTTCAAAATTGGCATTGTTACACATTCTTAATAATTTTTTTTTATAAACTAATATTTTTTATGAAAACTTGAACTTTATTCTATTTTAAAATGGTGCTTTAATCATTACATACGATAGAGTTCTATAAAAGTTATGCCGTGAAGCCAAAAAACGCCTTTGAGAAATAATAAATATATAGAGATAATGAGGAACGGTTCCCCACATGTTGTAAAATGTTTTAAATAAGATAACATTAATATTACAAAAATATTTACTGGACTCATCATCGCATATTAAAAGGATCGTGCTTTGTGGCAGCCAGTGGGTAGACCTATGTTCAACAGGCTGAAATGATGATGATTATGATGAAATACCACGGCTTTAGAGAAGACCGGTATGAAGGGGAAGTCGGTATACTGTCGGGTTTCGTCTGGTGAGTGAAGTATCAGGGTCAACAATTTTCTGCAACTACACGGGCGTCGTAGATGTCTAGTGGCAGCGTTAATCACTCATTATCTAGTTACCGCCTGTGAACATTTAACATAGAAACAAACACTGTTTAAACTTCTGGAATTCCTTTGCAAGGCTAGGTCAATAAAAAAAACTTTGGCAATTGTCATCTTTACCTTCTATCATTTTATAATACTTAGTCAACCTTATGTGAGAGTAAATATAAATGTAGCGCTAGAGCCACCACCTACGTTGAAGTTGCGTACGCAAGAAAACCCTAAAAAACAAAATATTCATCTGACAACCACGGGATAAAATATTTACTGAAATTTTAGGGTCTTGATGTTCCAAACAAAAAATTATTGTGATTCGTTGGTAAGTACAACAGTTAAGAACGGTTGTTCCGATATGAAGAGCCTAGATTTTTTTTTACCAATCTGGATAATGTTTTTATGGACAGCAAAATAAGAATAATTCGCAGGATTGAAGATTCGGGGAAAAGTAAACATTTTCTTATGTATGAGGTTTTTAGATGAACACGATGAACAAGAGTGTCGTTATTATTATTTTTTCTTTATGATCCGGGCATAAAGATTCAGAAACGCAATCGACATAGTTAAAAAAGCAAGTCGAAAAATTATAACAAACTGCAAAACCATTATTTTTGTATACAATTTTAATTGTTTGAACTGATGATATGAACGCCACATTTGGTAAGCTTTTTTCTTTATCTCATGTCCTATTTCTATTATTAATGTTTAAAATTGAATAAAAAATCTAAATATAAATATTGCAGAAGAGAAAATGTGGAAACAAGCTTAAATTTAATTATGGTTTTAATCATCTTACTTCACATTTGATCACATTTCCGGGTAACATAACGTGTTTCAAACAATTCTGACGTATTCATTGTGGAATTCATCACGCATAAAATAATATTTTCATTGTAAGTAGTCTACAAATGAAACAATTTTCGATTTTTGGACGGCTTTGCACACAGTCATAAAATGAAAAGACGTTTGGTGGGTCAGCTAGTCAAAGATAAAGCGAATATACTTTATAAAGAGGTTAACCACTTCCACCGTAGTAGTGCCAGCCACCATGATTATATGTGTAAACCATTTTTCCGTGATAATTAAATAAAGCAAATATTTTCTGCACTTGAGAGATAGTAAATTGAAAATCTATATTTGTTTCCTTCGTATTTAAATAAATTTGCAATCTACTACAATACTCTCACGCGGTCATTAAGTATTAGGTCTCCTTTGTTGGATTCTTCAATATCATCCATTCGGTTTTATAGATATGTCGTGTCAAATCCATATCATTTTATATATTATACAACTAATAAAAGGTTTTTTTAGGTAGGAAAAATCATCGCCGTCACCGATGTAGAGTCTATATATACAGTCCCCATATTGGAGGTCCGATCATGAATATAAAACCATAGTAGAATTAATTTCAAAGTTTTAATCAACCAAAGGTTTTTTATTTAGCGATGGCTATAATAAAAAAAAATAAAAATGAATTGATGAAGATTATTTTAATAGGTATATAGGAATACATTATACCGGCTCTCACGACGTATTATGCGAATGCTACTAAATATATGCATGAACAGGAAGTGTATAAGGCATATTTAAATTGCGAAAATGACGAATTATCAATGAAAAATTACTCACTTAACAATGGGAAGCGGCTCGTTGAGTGCTTGCCTAGCGGCGTGCTGATAGCGCTGATGTCGCTCTGGGAGCTGTGCAGGCTGCTTTTGCCGCTAGCATTGGCAGAACCCAGCTCCATTCGCATACGCATGTGACGGCTGGAAATGGGATATTACGTTAAGTTAATAATTTTGAAATTGTCGCTGGAATCGTTAAAAATTAAGGAACTGTATAATTCAGTCGTGAACAAAAATTGGACGCCTTCTTTACCTTTTAGGTTTCGTGTTCGTATTCGTCGATTTAGAGCTCAACATTCTTGTAACGCTGCACGCAGTCTGCGAACGCTGTAATGAAAACGTGCAATCTACTTTCGATTTTATATCCTTAAAAGATTTCGCTTTATAGTCACTCTTCATTTCTATGGTAGACTTCTTTAGAAAACTTTCGCGTCTCTCACTCTTTTTTGCTGCTTTTGGACTATTTTGTACACTATTTTCTGCGTCTGTCTTTCTACTGGCCAACATGGTCTTCAACTTGCTGGGGACGTCACGCTTAGGCATTTTATACTTCTTCAAAGTAAAACTTCTTTTTTCTTCTTTATTTTTCTCCACATTTCTTACTTCTTTTTCACTGTTAATGGAGTTTCTTTTGCTGGTGTTTTTGGGAGTTGTATCATCATCAATTACATGGGATACATCAGAGTTTTGTTCTTCTAATGTATCTTCTAACGGTGTAAAATACGTACTTAATTTGTTGGAACTTGCATTTTTCTGGCTACATTCCGAGTGAGTCGATTGAGTAGAGTCAGGAGACATGTCTTTGATCACGTTTAAAAATACAGGTGACGCACGATGATTTTCAAAATCTGTATATACTCCACTGGATTCCATACACGAGTCTTCACTTCTATTAACAATCAAAGGAGCATTATTACTGCCATTTTTTCCACCATAAAGAGCTCCATCTATAACTTGAGCTCGTCTATCTCCTTTCTGCATATGTTCGTCCAGTCCGTCAGCGTCACTTTCAGTGAAGAAATCAGAATCAGTCATAGGATCAACTCTTCTCGTAACAGGAACATTTTGCCATTCCATATCTATGACATCTTCACGAGGTCCCATAGGATGATCCGCACTTCGGCTTACTGGCCGTGACATTTCTCCGTCACCTTGATAACCATCTAAACTAGTTATACTTGTAATACTAGTAATGAAGCTGTTTGAAACTTTTGACGTTTCCATTGATTTGGTATAATCAGTTTTGCTGTCTGAAAAGGTTTGAGAATCGTGTAAAGTGGACGCTGAAAATTGTGAGTACGTGCTGACTTCACCGTTTATTTCAGAACTATCAAGAGGCAATTCTTCTGGCGATGGCGTCTGTTCTAGTCGATTGGGTGGTACATTTCGGTTCCCAATTTTACTATCCAATGGTATGTCTAAGTTTATTGTTGTGTCTGCAATAGAACTTGCAGGTTCTAAAATACTGCTATGAATCGAGGGCATGAAGTCTTCGTCAGCTAAATTTTGCGGAAATTCTTGGGACTTATACAAATCACTCTTTTCTTTTTCCAAGGTTTTCTCAACATCTGTTTTAGAATCTAATAAAGAGCAAAAAGTTTTATCATATAAAGTAAGAGCACAGTTGCCATCATATTTTAGGTCTTGTTTTTGAGCTTCAAACGCCTTGAGAGATACGATTGGGGCTAACGATTTTCCAAACGCATTTGTTTTTTTGTTGTAGTTACTTTCAAAAGTTTCATTTTGTATTGTCGACGCAGCCGAATTGCTTTCAGTCTTATCCGTTGATGGTGTGTCACCATTGTCGGGAGAAGCTTTGTAATCGTTATTATCACAAAAACTAGGCAAACCTTCGACCGTTGGGGAAAATGCGTTTTCTAAATAGCATATATCGTCCATTTGATCAGGAGTCAAAATACCTAAGCTGTCATCCAAAGAATTCTCTTCATTATTTCTACTTATAGAATTATCGTTCGGACTTAAGTTCGTTTCGTAAGATCGTGGATGAAGATGAGATTTAAGTTGTAAGCATAGATCAGATCTAGAGTGAGTGTTAAAAGTTTTCTTTACCGGAACTTCCTTTTCACAGGAGTACTCGAACTCTTTCATGGGTTTGTCATCAAAATTAATAACATTTGGTAGCCTGTCTAAGCTTTTGTTTGTAGCATTATTGATTTTCTTAAGAATTTGTGGGTTATTGACATTAAGTACATCATTTTGCGATTTCTTCCATGTTTCATCCTCAAGTGATTCTTTATAAGATGTGGAAGCATCTGGTTGAAGATCAAACAGGAGACTGTATGGTCCTGACTCGTGCGTATCGCTTTCCTCAACAAATTGCTGTGTTATGTCATTAAAATAACTTTTTGTCTTCTTGTCGACTTTAAGATCTTGCTTTCTAGAAATTTCATTTAGTTTTTCTCGTAAGTCTAATATTCTTGGATTTTGTTCCACAACTTTTTCTAGATTTAGGTTCATTTTAGGTATGAAACTTTGATAGTTTGAATGAAATAGTTTTTCAGCTATATCAGTGTTTGCTGCATTCTCGGTGGATTGTATTTTTTTAGTGATATCAATAGGTTTTATGTCGCCAGAACGTAGGCTCTTTATCAAAGAGTAATCTTTGAAATATACTCCGCTGATATTTAACGACCTGGATTTGACACTTCTATCGACAGGAATCTGGAACAAATGGAAATGTGCAACTTTAATGGAAGATTAGTGTAAAACGGTACTACAGTAATATTAATAGGGTTCTGAATTAATATTATCACTGTAATTTACAGTAATATTATATTACAAAATTACAAACAATAGAGAGCCGTGATAGCTCAGTGTCCGGGCGCTCGCCTTTAATTCAATATACATGAGCAACCTAAGTTCGATCTCCGGTGACGGCACCAATGAAATTTTCATTTTAAGTGCCGACTTATCACGTGCTCCGCGGTGAAAGAAAACATCGTGAGGAAACCTCCATATTTTCTAAATAATAACAAAAAAAAAACATTTGGAAGATATGTGAAGTCTGCCAATCCGCAGTGGGGCCGCGAGGTGCACTATGCCCTCTATACAGAGGAGGTCTCTGCCCAGCATTTCTATAAACGTAAAGTAACCTAAGCTGTTACTTTAGCAGTTGATCGTGGGACAGATGCAGGGAAGGCGCTCCAGGGGCCGAGTTCCAACACGATGGAGTAAAATATGCAAATGTTGCAAACGGCGGTTATCACTTAACATGTCGTGAACCGTCAGCTAGCTTTTAAGGCATTAAGACATTAAGACATTAAGACATTTAATCCGACACTTCATCTGCACACATATTACATTTGGTTACAATGTTTATAATTACAAAATAACAAACTAAAAAAAAAAAGTAAGCAAAAAAATTAAATAACCTAAAAGTAATTACAAGAGGAAAAAAATAATAAGTTAAAGTAATACAAAGAATAAAAATAAAAGAAATTTATAAATAAGGATGTAGTGACGGAAAGGACCGATTCAGCATATGCAGCGCAGTACTGCGGCGCTGATTCGCTTCGTTCATTTACACTTTTTTATGTGATAAGATGGCAAGCGAGCTGGCGGTTAACCTGATGGTAAGTTATAACCGCCGCCCATCGATATTTGCAACACCCATAAGGTTGCATTGCCACCTTTTAATGAAGCGGGCCCCTGCCCTACCTCACTCACCAGACGAAACGCAGAAGTATAATACTTCTACTTTACGCCGGTCTTCTGTGAGGTCGTGGTACTTCGCCGGAGGGACCTGCCCATCCGCGCATCACCGAACTGACACGTGGTATATACCCTGCCAATGCAGTGTACACATTTGTCTAGATTTATTTATGATCTGAAAATCGTAACGTTTATCATATTTTTACAGGCTTTTTGTCTTTAACCTTTATTTTCATAAAACTTTATGAACATTATTGTTTTGAAACATCATTTTGGAAATTAGTTCCGCCGCTAATGAACAAAAATTGCAATATAGATAAAAAATTATATTTTCTTTGCAAAACTAATAATTATGTAGGTACATACCAATATGTATTCAAACTCATCATACATTATTAAGAATGTTGAAAACGGTATCCATTAATCTATCTATCTTTTTAGGTTTTCTAATATTTTAGCATGCTTTGAAGACTGAATTTACTACTAGTTACTTTACTACTAGTTTACTTTATTAAATTTATTACATATATTAATTATATACAATTGTACCAACATTTTAAAAAAATCACTGGCATTTATTACTACTCTTAATAAAACAAGACTTTACAAATTCATTATCATATTAACAATTGGTCACGATACTCTGTGAAAAATTCTCACGGGACAGCTCGTTTTCCAACAAGAATGTTGAAAACGGTATCCATTAATCTATCTATCTTTTTAGGTTTTCTAATATTTTAGCATGCTTTGAAGACTGAATTTACTACTAGTTACTTTACTACTAGTTTACTTTATTAAATTTATTACATATATTAATTATATACAATTGTACCAACATTTTAAAAAAATCACTGGCATTTATTACTACTCTTAATAAAACAAGACTTTACAAATTCATTATCATATTAACAATTGGTCACGATACTCTGTGAAAAATTCTCACGGGACAGCTCGTTTTTATTCAAATTGTAAAACTTTACATAAGTCTTAATACCTTTTAAATAATTTATAAATACTAATTTATAACATTAAAGAAGTAAAAAAGTGATACAAATTTATAGTATTTATAGCTTGTGATCCATTAAAATATTAGTTGGAATTACTCTTAAAAACGTCGTACAAAGTATAATTTAAACTTGAACGACTTTTTTTATGTATTTCTTTTTATGTGCAATAAATAGTATACGAATGTAATTGAACTTTCCCGATAAATCCTTTTTACCATCATACCATATCGCAACATAAATTCAGTGATTAAGTCATCTCTTTAGTATTTATAAGAGCTATAATCGTGTCTTGATCGCGGTCGTTTAATGTTAACGTATACGCTACGAAAAGTCCCCCTCTAATATTATGTATGTTCATCACGGTTCAGAGGACCGTCACGCGAGGTGATTCTAATGCACTCAATTGTACTTGCAAGTCTACTGTGATACTGTATGTACTTTTGTATATCTATGTATGCGCGACCCTTTATCCTTCACAAAGAACTACGTACCTTTACAACTAACCACAGTTACGAGGTTTTGAAATATATGTAACAAATGTTATATTTTAAAAACTGTTTAAGAACAATGACGGTAACTAGACGATTTGTTTTGCTTACGTGAATAAAACATTATTCGAAACGAATAGTGTTTTGATTTTAGACGAGGTTTGATCATTCTACATTATTTATAGCGCATCACACAAATTAAGCTCTTTTAACATCCCAATACCGTGCATTGCTCTGCACGTTGAAATAAAATAAATAATCCGAAAATGGGTGCAGGAGACACACACAGGTTAAAACATCGAACAATATCGAACACGATCGAACCCGGAAATTAGTTTAAATAAACAAAACATTGAATCTATATAAATGTACCATTAGATGACTACGAAACATTCAAATGAAATGCATTTTACATTTCATATTCTTTCTCGGGAAAAGGATACGGGTAATGTAACTGGGCCTGCACGACTATTTCCACGTACATGTCAGAGATAAGTATCAGAGCGAAAAGTCACGAATGCGCTAGCAAATGAAACAATTGCCGGCTCCAATGAATCTTTTTCCCAACTAAAAAGTAAGCCGGCATTCAACCTTATTCCATTGAACAATGCAACAGCTCAAATAAGCCTGCTAACTTACTAAGCATACTGACTGCACCATTCAGAAATCAATTTATCCTAAGTAACTATTTTACCAATTTTATTCAACATGAATTTTCAAATCTACCTCGGAAGTTAATAATTTTATATTCATTTTATATTACAACGATACTTAATCAAGAGTCGAGTGCAATGGCGGGCGCTCGTTTTTAATTCAATATACAATACTCGGTTCAAATCCCGGTGCCAGTACTAATGAAATTGTTAATTTTACATTTTGACTTATCACATGCTCAGCGTTGAAGCAAAATATCATGAGGAAACCTACCTATTTTCAAAGTAATAACCAAAAAAATTTTTCGAAGATACCAATCTATAGTGGGGCGAGCGGTGGACTACGCCCTAATACCCACTCTTCAGAGGAGGCCTTAAACCACCAGCCAAGTGAAAGATAAATAGATTGTTACCTTATTTTAAATCCTATATTGTTGTGTGTAGTGTGGTTGAAAACGGATACGGAAAAAGGATTGCCTATTTTATATTAAAAGTAGATTGTGTGCAATGTTGACACATTTGGGCAACAAATAACAGTGATTTTTGCAAGAAAATAATAAAAATAAAAAAAAACAAATTGACGCACGCTCGGCGAGGTTTCATTTAAATATATCAGTCAAGTCTTCGCCAAAGGATTTAATCAGTGGCTTTTGTGTGTAGTGTAGGATGATTATGGTAATGGTAACGACATCAATTCTAATTAGAATTACAACGTAAATTATATTAATTTTGTAATACCCATATGTAGAGCATTGGCATTTCTTTTATACAGCCAAGTTTAAAGACAATAGTTTGTATTCACACCATCACATATCAATCAAATCATCACCGAGGAAAGTGCCTATTTTAATCTGTAGCTAGTATTTGAACCGTTATCTTCAATTCTACTTAGAGTTTGAAAGTAAAGTATTTAATTAACATCTCTACTATAGCGTTCCAACATTTACAGACAAGTTTGACGACAATTGTTTGTATTAACGCTATATTTTATTTATAACTGACATCGCTGTTTCTGTGAGCATGCAAAATATAAATTTCGTGTTTCTTCTAGAAATTTTGATGTCCAACGAAATCAATCGAGTTCCATGGCCGACTGGTAATGAAAGTTTATGTGGAAACCCATAGTGGAAGCAGATTCTAAAGGCCCATTTACACGGTGCCAGTTTCTTGCCTGTTGTATACAATTAAATTGAAGCAATAAATGAGTTGCATGGTCTAAACAGCACATAACATTCCTGCCTGTTGAACAAGACTTGCTTCAAGTTTTGTTTCAAAACTTTCCTTGGTGTAAACAGCACATACAATAATTTCTTAAGCAATTCTTGCATTCAATTTTCTCTCTTCATTTGCAAACATGAGTGCAGTGAGTGAGGGTGTGTTAATCGTTGCTGCTCTTCTGATGCAAGAAATAATGAGAAAACGTCGCAAAAGAAGGTGTTGGGTCAAAAAATGGATAGCAAGAATCCAAATCCATTTAATTATACCACGTAAGTTTGGATTTGTAAATATTAGCAGTACCGGAACCTGTGCCCATTGAACTTTTTATCTTTTTCTTTTCCCCATGATACAAATCAACCCCAAATTCCTGTGCAAATGCTGTTAGTGCTGCATTACGTGCATCGCGATTCTTGTAATTTCCATTTTCAATATCCCACAAACACTCATGATTGCGATAAATCTCAATGAACTTTATTATCTCAGTCATACCAAATTTGAACAACTTTTGACTCATTTTTTTAATAAACAGTCTCTATTAAGACGTTCAACACTTGCACGAAAAATTTGTCAACGCAAATACGTGCAATACTTGAAGCAACCGTCCAACAAATGGTACCCGCAAAGGCAAGTCAGTGTTTAGACAA